CAGAAAGCTTTTGCAATCCTTGATCACTATTGAGAAATAAATGAAACAGTGACTAAGCTACATTATTGAAGTAATGAATATGCATACACCCGTGTCCCCACCTCACAGGAATATGATTGGCTGGTGTCAGCCATAAATACGACGCTTATTGGACTACGCCATTGGCTATCCTATTGGTCTACGCTTATTGACTGCGACTACAAGGATTAGTCCCATTACTGCTACCTTCTAGATTGTTCTACTCGGTGAGAGTAGCCTAAACCACTTAGCTACTTCGATCATATATATCCCTTTCCGGGACATATTAATTATATACAGTATAAATTCAAATTAGCAAAAAAAAAATCGATCGGATTGCGTTTCCGTGAGAATTGCTTATAGAAAGAAATGTCGTTTCCAAACAAGAGTAGAAAAAATTACCAATTCTAGTTTTTTCGTATTTTCCATTGAAGTAGGGAAGTCCATGATGGGGGAAAATGTGCTGCATCAATACTTTTACAGACATTTTCGGTACTTACTATTATCGTTTGTTAAGCTACTCGTCTTTGGTTGAATTTGTGTTGATTGGTCAATTTTATTTCAGGTTGGTCAAAGTCTATTTCGTTACTTTCTTTGATGGCGTCAAATGCAACTTCTGGTGACTTCTCTAGGTTTTTTTTTTTTTTTTCAGTACATTATTTGCATTATTCTGACTATTGTCCTCATCTTTGTCGCCATATTTATCACAACGTTTCGGCCATTGTACGCTCTGGCCTCCTTCAGGTGGTTGGAATGTTTTTTTCAGTCGGTTTTATTTTTTATGATGAGCATTCTCGTTACAATGGTTCCTGAAATAATTCTACAGAAACCACTTCAAAAGACGGTAAATATTTACAATTCTAATTTGAAATTTTTAAAAAATGGTTCTTAGAAATGAAGAACTTTAGTGTTTGAATGTAAGTTTTCTTTCTTAATGTAGTGCTGCGTAGGAAGATAAACTACATCCGGCATCAAGGCATCTGAACGGGAGATTGGAGGTTTGGAAGACCGTGGAACCACCTCTCAATTGCTGCTACCCCCAGGTCCAACCTGAGCCAAATGTAGCACCTGTTACGGTTCCAGCTACGAGCAAATATTGAACCCCCAAACAAGACACTATGAAAGTATAAAAATACATTTTTACAGTAAAAATAGCAGCAATACATTTTGTACTAAATACCTATTTATAGTAAAAATGACCAACCATACCTGTTTATAGCAAACATAACCAATATATATATATAGTGATCACTTGATAAGGGTGTTGAAACAAAATGGCTATTTTTGTAGTGATTTTATAACATATTTATGTTAGAAATTTTTCTTTTTTTTTTATAAAAAATAATTATATCTGCTCTACTTTGTATTGAGCACTCTTTTAAGAATAGTAATTGCTGGTTATTGGAATTCATTCCGTATATACCAATTATATACTTGGGTATATATATTTTTCTATTGACTTTTTCCTTTGTGTATATTGTCTTTTCTACAGGTTCATTGTGAGAAATTCTTACACATACACATATATGTAAAATTTCAGATAGAACTAATATATATATATATATATATATATATATATATATATATATATATATATATATATATATATATGACAATGATCTTAAGCGAGGCGCTTCGTCTTCTGATAGACTTTATCAAGGCATATGTAAGGCTTTTATTTTGCAAGTATTTACAAACAAAAGTAAAAAGTAAGAAACCGCTGTACTTATATCCTAACACAACTCAATTACTATATCTTGGATTAGTTTATCCAGCACACATCACTCAAAACATAGAAACAAAATTTCATTGATTCAGTAGAATTAAACGCATAATATTTCTGTAGAAATCAGAAACTTGAAAGTGTTGAACAATTCAGCTACAAAGGTCATTGCTTTAAGGAACAGATTTATTATGGACTTTTTGTTTTTATTTTTAAGCAGACATTTGTTAGGTTTCGCCGAAGTGTTAGTCATAGCCTGCTTTCTTTTTTCCTGGCTCCAGACAGTCGGCTATCGAATCTTCCGATGTTTATTTTTCGAATGAACTTCTCTATACCAGAGGCTTACAACAAAAATCGTTTATGTTTCATACCTTTGGCCAGTGAACGATGAATTAGCTTAATCCAACTGGATCTCCGTTAGTCTCTATAGAATTTAACTCGGACAGATTAGAGTCATATGAAAATGTGGTTTCTTTTCGTTAAACCAGCGTGTCAATTTATATGACAGTTGATAGGGCTTTCGATATAATTAAATGTAAATAAAAATAGTGATACTTTGTAAAAAGGAAACCTTTTTCTTGAAGGAATTATATCCTTCCTATAGGAATTTCTGGAATAAATAGTTATAATTATTTACGTTATTTTTATTCGGACTATTTTCCTCGTCTATTTTATTCCTATCACGTTTCAACGGTTCTCCGGCCTTCTTCAGGCGTATTTCAATCTTAACAACCTACATGGGATTCTGAAGGAACTCTTTGGTTCACTTGGCGTACAATGAATTAAAGCGTTGGTTTGTGAATTTTGGTGACATGGTGGTTGGGAAATAAATCTCTGGGTCGGGCAGTGTGTACATGGACTCAGTGGAAACGCACCAGCAATCAATATTACAAATAAAAACTAGACGATATTCATAAACATGGACAGTGGAACGAGAAGAGTCTACCCACCTTAGATTAAATAAGAGGTTCCGTTCGGAATTCCCTGTAGGTTACTGTTGAAATTTGACTAATGCATGGAATAATAATGCAAGACAAAATGTACCTAGAACAAAATGTATTGAAACAAGAAAGTGTACACAATATTTACATATAGTCTTTTGTATATTCCTGATAAGACCGTTCCTGGAGAATGTGTTGACTGAGTCGCAGTCGGGCAGAGTCTCTGGTTGAATCTCTTGATTCCTCCCTCTCTTCCCGGTACCAACCATATTTATATGGTCAGTACTCCACTATGCAAATTAGGTGGATCCTACCACAACAGTTACCCAGATCGATGTAAACTGAGGAAGGCCGGGAGGCACTGCGACCGAAATGTGATAACAAGTGATCAGTACTAAAAATAAGAACTAACCGATATCACTAGATATGGGCCGCGGAACAAGATGAGTCTATCCCCGTTGATAAGATAATGATTTCAGTTCAGAATTCCCTGTAGGTTACCCAGATCAATATATACCTGAGGAAATGTTTGGTGAATTGTTTCTTTTTTTACCCATAAAATATTATAGGGAAATTGTTTGGTTTACATTTACGAACAGATATTTTTGTTATTAAAAAAGATACCTGAAGTTGTGCTATACAAATTACAATTCTACATCAGTTATTTAAAATGCTTTCAAATACGAAATGAACCCTATGACAGACAGAAGTTTGAAAGTACCTGCGAGACAGCAATAACTCTGTGAGACGTAGTATAAATGGAAATTTAGCCTGAACGATAGCGATTTTCACTATAACAAAGTACTTGTTTGTAATCTCTGGAAAAAATATTGGCATATTCTGCACACAGAGACATTATTGAATTTTTTTTTTAATTTAATACTAAACTGATTACAAGCACATAATTCGTTCGCGGAAGCAGATTCTCTAAGTACTTTTCTTTTCTTCTGTTTGCCGTGTCCCTTCAGGACATGAAAAACCATGACACTCCATAACATTCTACCCGTTGTTGCCCTTAACATGGTTGGTACTTTTGCTAAGCTTCTAATACAATCTCGTTAGATATGTAGCCAGCTGACTTCCCTTCTCCTATATACCCTGTGAGTGTCAATTTCTCTAAGCCCTCAGTCCTCATTACAGGTCCAAATGATTTCACCTCTCTTTCTGTTGTGTCGTCAAAAGGACCACTTGTTGCCACTATTATGGTGACAACGTATATTAGTTTGTCCTCTGGTCAATGCCAATGTAGTAGAGACTTTGTTATCGCAGATACCAATTATAGTACGCCGATGAATAATACGCGTATCAGACATATTAAAATAATACTCATAGTAATAGTACTTCGTATATTGAGGAGAGAATAGTAGTCCAAATAGTAAAAGAGATAGAGAAAAAATAGCGAACACGGAGTGTAAAGGATCGACTAGAATAGCGAACACATCATACGTCACGCGACTTCCTCTCTATAAGCGTTTCCGCTATGGTCACATGATCTACCTAATTGAATAATGAGATCGCCTGTGTTTGTTTACTGGCGATCTACGTTCAAGCACAAGTGTCAGTAGTAATACTTTATTCCTATATAACACTTTCAGATTTTGACCATAAGTGTCTTATTTTTTCAATTTTTATTTAAGACTTCTTCGTTGCTTAGGTATTACGTCAGTAATATTCTCAGCATCCTTCTGTAGAACAACATTTCTGTGGCATCCAGTCTTCTCTTTATCTGTGAGTAGAACAACCAGCATCCACTCAAATGGAAGGGGATTGATATTATATAATGGTCAGTACTTTACTTTGTTTCTAATGAAATTTTCCTGTTTCTTAATAGTTTGTTTAGCTTTTTGTATACATGTTTTTCTATTCCATTGCTTGTTCGGATTATGATTTGGTCTTTTCCATTATGTGTCAAAACACTTCCCAGATATTTAAACTTCTGCATTTGTTTGATGTTGGCATCTTGGGCCTTTGCCCTTGCTGATAACAATACATTCTGTCTTCTTACAGTTAACAGTCCTTTTTTTTTTCACACCTTCCTTTAACGCCCTCTCTAGAAGGTCCAATAGTTTTCTGTTCGTATACACCATCTGTGTATCTGACACTGTTAACACTGTACCTAAGAATGATAAATCCTGACAGAATCCCTAGCTCCCTAGCCACGTTATAGAAGTCGAATATAATCCAGTAACATTCACCCATTTCTATTTTTGTGTATCTATTCATTGTAATTTACATCCGGATGTTGGCGGTTTCCTGGCATTTCTGGATTATTCCAACATCCTTCCCAAACAGGTCTAGAGGCTTACGGTGGAATCATTTGGTAACATCGGTTCCCGTACGATGATAGAAGTTAAGCAACGTCGAGCCTGGTCAGTACCTAGATGGGTGATCGCTTGTGAATACCAGGTGCTGTAAGCCTATATATACGGCTGACATAACGGATAATGGTTCGGAATTGTTAATCGGAGAGCCGAGTTCTAATTCCAGTTGGTGTCGTTATATTCAGTTACGCACACATAACCTTAGAAAAGGTATAAATCTATAACTTCTCTTCCAGCTATGGGTTAACTAGTATGAATTGTATCACTAAACATTATTACCTAAAAAAAATATTTCGATCTAAAAATGTTTACTGGATTTAAATAACCTGCAAAGCGCTGAACAGACGTCGAAAACGAATCAATCACTCATATAGTTCTAGGTTTTGTAACAGTTCAAATAGATCTTGGTGCCGTTTCAAGAAATGGTTTTAATTAATCTATAAATCATAGGTCTACATCCTTCTGCGTTTATATTTTTGCTTTAACCTTCGTCATATTAAGATATACTGCTCTGGAGAACAGAGCATGGGTTCCTATGAGAGGAACATATGGAGGCTAAAATGTAAATAGTCGATTACTTTAATATTAAACCTGATATACATAAGTCATGTCTATGCTACCAAATCTGCTGCTCTTTTGCTTGACTTCCTTTGCCGTTGTTTCAGTTTCTTAGTGTAGTGAGTGAAGAAAATTAGTAAAACCTGAAATAGACCCGAGGATACACGACTAGACACGTTCTTATTACAGCAACAGTGATGAGGATATTAATTCAACGGTAGATATTATAAAGAAAAACATTCAACATTTACTTAAAGAAGCATCATTTTTTTTATATCTGGAGCTGACCGCTGAGCAGGGATAACTCAGAAAAGGTATGACAACTACTTAGATAGATAGATAGATAGATAGATAGATAGATAGATAGATAGATAATAGTAAAACAGTCTGGGATAGATAGATAGATAGATAGATAGATAGATAGATAGATAGATAGATAGATAGATAGATAGATAAAAACAGTAAACAGTCTGAGATAGATAGATAGATAGATAGATAGATAGATAGATAGATAGATAGATAGATAGTAAACAGTATGAGATAGATAGATAGATAGATAGATAGATAGATAGATAGAATGAATGATAGATAGATAGATAGATAAAATAGTAAACAGTTTGGGATAGATAGATAGATAGATAGATAGATAGATAGATAGATAGATAGATAGATAGATCGTGAGCAGACATAGATAGATAGATAGATAGATAGATAGATAGATAGATAGATAGATAGAATAGAATAAATAGTAAACAGTCTGGGATAGATAGATAGATAGATAGATAGATAGATAGATAGATAGATAGATAGTAAACAGTCTGGGATAGATAGATAGATAGATAGATAGATAGATAGATAGATAGATAGATAGTAAAATAGTAAACAGTCTGAGATAGATAGATAGATAGATAGATAGATAGATAGATAGATAGATAGATAGATAGATAGTAAACAGTATGAGATAGATAGATAGATAGATAGATAGTAAAATAGTAAACAGTTTGGGATAGATAGATAGATAGATAGATAGATAGATAGATAGATAGATAGATAGATAGATAGATCGTGAGCAGACATAGATAGATAGATAGATAGATAGATAGATAGATAGATAGATAGATAGATAGTAAACAGTCTGGGATAGATAGATAGATAGATAGATAGATAGATAGATAGATAGATAGATAGATAGATAGATAAAACAGTCTGGGATAGATAGATAGATAGATAGATAGATAGATAGATAGATCACATATTAGGATAGTAATTATCTTATGTTTTTTGATGGTGGATGATCAAGTTGAAGCCTGAAAACGACCATCACGATGTTGTTCCCTATTTCAACCCTCTGCATATCTATAAACGCAGTATATTGCATAGTAAACCCTTTTTCTCTTTAAATATATTAAACTGTTCACGTCTGTGTGTGTGTATGCATCTATGCTTGTTCGCGCGTCTGTGTATATGCGCGCATCCGTGTGTACGCCTCTGTATTTATGTGTGTGTGTACGTGTCTGTGTTTATGTACACAACAAATATAACCGTTGTAGCATCGCAGATCAAAAGTTTCCCATGTCAGGAAATCTACAAGAGTGAGTTAAAACAAAAACACGTGTTGTATCTTTAAAACACATGGGGGCCATGATACCCACTTCCGAAAATTAGATAAATGACCAAAAATCAACAAGTTTTAAGGTATTCCTGTTCAGTTCGAGAAATTTTGAACAACCCTTTAAACACACACACACACACACACACACACACACACACACACACACACACATATATATATATATATATATATATATATATATATATATATTAAAAAGAAGAGGGGTGCCGCAAACGTTTTTGGTTGTAATGTGGATTTATTGAGAAAAAATATTGAAATATTTGAACGCAAACTGAGACTAAGAGAAATATTTAACAATAGCGAAAGTAGTACAGATGAGTCACTAGTAAAAAACAAATCCAATTTATTCCCAAACAAAAATAACAATACCAATGAGATAAATATATTTTTGAAAACTCTGGAACCTTGACCTACAGGAAAATCCAAATCATTCGACAATCTCACATATAGACAAAGACTAGCCTTAGAGAACATTCGAAAAATAATAACATAATTATAAAAGAAGCAGATAAAGGCAGCGCTATAGTAATCATGGACAGAACATACTATAAAACAAAAATTCTAGAAACACTAGAGGATAGGAACAGCTACAAAGTAATTGACACTAACATAGACAAAAACATTATAACAAAAATTACAAAACTCTGCACAACACATAATAAAATATTAACAAAAAAAAGAGAAGGATTTCCTAATAAACTTTGTACCAAAAAAAAAGTAATTTCTACGGACTACCTAAAGTTCATAAATCGAGTGAAATAAAAGCAGCTATACATACACAAAAATCTGAATACATTAGCATCCCAAACCCCAGTGACCTTACATTCAGACCCATAGTAGCAGGACCAGTCTGTCCCACTAGCAAACTCAGTAACCTAATAGACATAATATTGCAACCATATACTAAACAAATTAAAAGCCACATCAGAGACGATATCCATTTCCTTAGCTGCATACCACAAAAGGTAGATCCGGGAACGCTTATGGCAACTTTTGACATCAGTAGCCTATACAGTAACATACCCCATGAACTAGGGAAAAAAAGGATCTCATTCTGGATTGAAAAACATCCAGAAATACTACATCCGAGATTCACTAAAGAGTTCATTATCGATAGTATAGACCTAATTCTAAACAATAACACCTTTGAATTTGACAACAAAAACTATATCCAAACCCTAGGTACTGCGATGGGAACAAAAATGGCACCAACATATGCCACCCTAACATTAGCTTACCTAGAAGAAAACCTCTATGAAAAGATAGAACAAATATATGGGACAAATATAAAGACCCAATTCACTAAATCTTGGAAAAAGATATCTAGATGATTGCTTCATCTTTTGGAAATCATCATGGGGTGATATTAACCAATTCCATACACTACTTCAAAACTTACACCCAAAAATCAAATTCACGCAAGAATATAATTTTAACGAATTACCATTTTTAGATATACTCATTAGAAATAAAAACAACCACATAATCACAGATATCTACCACAAACCCACAGACACCCAACAATACGTTCATTTCAAGAGCCATCACCCAAAAGCTGCCTAAAATCCATCCCCTATTCCCTAGCACGTAGAATTTGTACAATAGTGACTGATAAACATCTCCGAAAAATCCGCTTAGAAGAACTACATAAAACTCTCAAGAAACGAGGCTACCCACAACACTAATAAACAAAGGTATTGAACTCGAAAGAAATTCCTCTAGACCAACTTAGAAATAAAAAGAAACGTAACGTCGAACAAACTCTAGCATATGTCTCAACGTACAACAAAAAACAACCCAGAAATATTCCCAGAAATCACAAAAATCTAGATTTACTTAGCAAGAATAATAAACTGAATAATATACTAAAACAACTAAAATAATTAAGAGCAAACGCCAATCTAGAAACCTAAAACACATATTAACCTCATCTAAATTTAGTCAACACAAAATACAGGAGTCACAAAATGCAACAAAAAAAAAAGATGTGGAGTTTGTGACATCATTATAGAAGGAAACTCCTACACTTTTGAAAACCCAAAAAAACATTCACAATAAACAAAAAAACTTAAACTGCAACTCCAAAAATGTAGTTTATGCACTTAAATGCACAAAATGTAAGAAGTCATATATAGGCATCAGCCAACAACTGAACAACAGGGTCTCCCTACACAAAAAAGCAATATAAAATTGACAGACAACAGAAAACTTTTTTGTATCTCAACACATTTTCAAATGTAACCAGGGTAAGTTTAATATCATGCCGATATATCAAACAGACAATTACTCGTATCTACAAATAAAAAAACTTTATCGACAAATTCAAACCCCGAACTGAATAGATCGTAACCCCCCAAAAAAACATGCACACAGGGGTGACCAAATACAATGATAGCTCACATACATGGACGCACACTCATATACGGGAGACACGAGGAGAGATATATATATGTGTATATACACATACATACATTTATGTATGTATATGCGGATGTTGACAACTTAAGAAGTACGTGTGTGTGTGTGTGTGTGTGTGTGTGTATGTATGTGTGTGTGTGTATGTGTGTGTACTGGTTCCATGTAGCTTGGGAAATATGTGTGTATATGTGTGTGTACTGACTACTTGTGG